CGGTCCGATCGCCTAGGCGATCGGAAACGGAAGGTGTCCTCCCTCCCTCCCTGTAGTCTTTTGGGACACGTGACAGGTGCCAGAAGACTACAGGACCATTCACAATGCGCAGCGCTACTCGCGCATGTGCAGTGGGTACGCGGCTGTGAAGCCGCAAGTTATCACAGCCGGGTGCCCACACTGAAGATGCCGGCCTCCTGGAATCCAGGACAGCCGGTGAAACGAGCTGCGGGGGGGGACACCATGGGACCGAGGGACAGGTAAGTGGCTGTTTTTGCAGCTGCTGACTTTTATTTTTTGATTGGTCGAGTGGAACTCTGCTTTAATTTTAAAATGGCACTAAGCAGTGCTGAAATGCATTTCAAGCAGGATGCACAGTAAAGCCTCCTTTTAAAACAGAAGGTTTTTCATTTTTTTCATTCTGTCACATGTCCCATAAACAAGAGGTTTATTCCTCATTTCAGGACGGTGGACAGAGCAAAATCATTGTTTAATGCCCCATTGGCCAGATGCATATCCAGAACCACAGGCGTATAATGCAAATATGCAGTCGCCTAAGATTATTAAGATATTAGTTACAAACTGCATATAGCTGTTTCAGTCGATTTAACCATCATCAGTGCAGTGTATGGAAACAGTGGATTTTATTGAGTAGGGCTTGGGACCCAATGAGACAGTAAAGCCATACAGGGTATGGTGAGAAGGGACTAAAGCAATCACAAAACCCTAATTCTAACCAGTGGGGTTGATTTACTAAAGGCAAATAGATTGAGCACTTTGCAGGTGCAGTTGCACTCATTTCCCCAAGTACTTAGCGAATGTAGTGAAGTGGCACTTTGTAAAGAACAGCATTTTTGCGTGCATGTGATTGGATGATGGAAATCAGCAGATCTTCACCATATTCACTAAGCCCTGTGGAAAATAAGTGTACCTGCAAAGTGCACTGTCTATTTGCATTTAGAAAATCAACCCCAGTGTGTAGCACAATAAAGCTTTCTTAAAAGAGAAGTTATTCACATGTCTCATTACTTCATATATTCCAGAAATAAGAGGATTATTCCTCATTTCAGGACAAATGTTCTACACCCCATTGGCCAGATGCATATCCAGAACGTCTTATGTATAATGCAGTTATAGGCTACTATTATATAGCCATCTATTCCAATCTACATATGGCTATTTGGCTATCATTGGTGCAATGTATGCAACCCATGCTGCAAGCACAGTGTAACTCCAACGACTGTACAGTTTTAGGATAACCACCTTAACATTAGAGCAATTTTTTTCATTGTTTGCACACAAGTAAAAATCAGCATTTTTGGCTGTAAAATTACTTAAACCCCCAGTTCAGTATAGAATGCAGAATACAAAAATAATTGCTTTTTGTTTATTTTTTGCACAATATTTGTGCGCACATTTTCAGGTAAAAACAAAATGAATTTCATTGCAAACAAGTACAAAATAATACCCAATTTTTTGGTAGACTGTACAAGATGGGGTTGCACCAAGTAAATAGAGACCAAACATGTCAAGTCTTAAAATTGCGTGCTCCCCTGATATAGCAAAAGACTACGGTTTCCAAACGTCTCCATAGATGACATTTTAAAAACCTTTACTGCTCATAAGTTTAGAGTTAACTATGAGCTCTGGCACTGGAATTATTGCCTTCATTCCGATGGTTGCGGTGATACCTCATTTGTATTTGCAGGTCTGTGCAGGGTAGAGGGTAACAGAAGTTAAGTTGAATTTTTTTTTCTACATTTATTATTAAAATTAAATTGTATTTGTTTTTTTGTTTTTTTACGTTACTTCCACGTGATAGCATTGGGCTGGTGACAGGTACTCTTTATGGAGACATTTAGGGTCCAATAGACCCCAATGTCTCACTTGCCCTGCAAAAGCAAAGAGATTTGCTAGGTGAGATGGTCCTCTGGCTGCACCAGTCAGGGAATTGAAGCTCCAAAACCAGTAGGGACAAAATCCTTGTGGCTTCCAGTTTCATCCAGTGCAGAGGAAATTGAGGAAGGCATGTTCCTTGGTTTCCTCCCACTTCCCATCCTGAAGTGGCTGGATGTGGTCCCAGGTTTTTGGTAAGAGCATAAGAACCTGGGAACCATGCTGGGGGTTGTACATGGTTCACACTTTGGGCGTGCTACATACGTCCAAAGAGCTGAACTAATAAAAGTACAGTCTACCATATCCCCCTTCATTCTCTTCAGCAAAATAGATGTAATTGCAGAATGACCACGCACACATTTGTAGTATCTGAATATAATAGCCAGCACCGGGCTGGCATGTAGTTCATCCCTTGGCAGCATGGCACCAATACTGTGTATATCCTGGGATATTGAGCTTTATACCTTCAGTTATATTTAAATCTGTGCCTTCTGTCTTGCACAATTGTACTGAACTCTTCCCTTGTGCTAAAATTGCTTATTCAGATTTTACAGCAGACAGCAAGCTTCTCAGGATGCATTAGAAGCTGCAACAAGTCACATACAGTCCACTTCATTTCCTGACTGGAGGACATCTAGCATCATCCAGCTTTTCCTCCCTAGTTTTACTATATCCGGCCCATTCCTTTCATTCATTAGGATTTTTGTCCATTCAGCATCATACTGTATGTGAGCATTAGCACATTTTCCTGTTTTCAGAAGCTATGCACTGCACCTTGCCAGACCTTGCTACCAACCATGATCTGCCGTCCCTGCATAGCGAAGCAAAGAGACCTAGTGCTGAGTTTAAAATAAAGTATGTAATGAAAATGGATGGTTTTATCTTCTAATTTTATTAGCATGTTAGTGAGGGGAGAAAGGAGGTACCAGAGAACTCAAAATACTGTATAAGCAGATTAAACTTCAGCTTTAAGCTGTTCTTGATTAACAAGGATGGAATTCTGCTCTACTGAGTAGCAGAGCTTAGGAGAACTGATTTCAGCACACTGTAATGCTAAGAGTTTCCAAAGTTCTCTTGTTACTTGTTTTCCTGCCATGCTGTATACCTCGAGCAGCGGATAATTTCACCTTTTCTCTTGAGTCTGGCTGCATGAAAAGCAGGCAGCAGGTGACAGATGGCAGAAACACAATTCATTGTTCATGTTCCAGGCACATACAGTGTTTTTTATCATTGTAACCTAGTTTACCTTGTTTGCCGATGGATATAAAGAACCTCCTGGCACTTCACCATGCCAGCTGCAGATTGAGTGATCTACAACAAAGTTGGCCATCCATGAAATTGACCAAATCAGGTAACAGAGTCAAACACTTTTTGTTTGAGGCTATATAAAGTGATCATAGCCCAGTGCAGCATCTGACTACCTCTTTTTTTTTGTTCCATACTTGTGAAGATATTTGTTGACTTTGAAAGTTGGCGGTGGCTATTACAAAGAGCAGTTATCAGTGGACTTGGTCTAAAATAAACTTCCTCATTAGATAAAAGGCCTGCACTTTAGTTCTGTAGTTGAATAATAAAAGGTTATATAGGAGGGAAATTTACTAAAACTGGAGCAATCAGAATCTGGTGCAGCTGTGCAGGGTAGCCAGTCAACTTCAGCATGTTCAGTTAAGCTTTGACAGTAAAACCTGGAAGCTGATTGGTTTCTGTGTAGAGCAGCACCAGATCTTGCACTATGTTTTAGTAAATAGCTCCAATAGTGTTCTTTTGTAAAGGAGGAAAATATATCAACCTGTCCCTGCATGCCTAGGTTCTAGGTGTAATCCTGGACTCTGAACTATCCTTTCAGCCCCACATCCATTCACTGTCTCCGCAACATCTCCAAGAGACACCCCTTCCTAACCAATGACACCATAAAGCTCCTAGTTCACTCCCTGGTCATCTCCTGCCTCATTTACTGCAACTCCCTCCTCACTGGCTTACCTTTTACATAGGCTATCCCTCCCTTCAGTCCATCATGAATGCTGCAGCCAGGCTCATCCGCCCTACCAACCGTTCAGCGTCTGCCACCCCTCTCTGCCAATCCCTCCACTGGCATTCGCTCACCAAAAAAATTAAATTCAAGATACTTAAAACAACTTATAAAGCCATCCACAACTCGGCTCCCTTCTACAGCACTAACCTTATCTCAAAATACCAACCAAATCGTTTTCTATGTTCCTTGCAAAACCTCCTGCTCTTTAGCTCCCTCGTCACCTCCTCCCATGCTCGCCTCCAGGACTTCTCCAGAGCCACCCCCATCCTCTAGAACTCCCTTCCACTATCTCCTACTCTGTCCACTTTTAGACGATCCCTGAACACTCATCCCTTCAGAGAAGCCTATCCTGTCCCCACCTAACAACTGTACGTGTATTTTCTCTATCAGCCCATCCCCCACAGTTATTAGCGTTTATATCTCTTGACCCTCCCTCTTATATTGTAAGCTCTAACGAGCAGGGCGCTTTAATCCCAATTAAATTGTATTGTAATTGTACTGTCTGCCCTTATGTTGTAAAGCCCTGAGTAAACTGTAGGCGCTATATAAATCCTGTATAATAATAATAACATTCAAATATCTTTGGTTCTATCGACTTTCGATGGTAGTCCATAGGGGTCCCATCTATACTTATCAGAAACAGATTAGACTCTATTATGCTTATGGAACATATTACCATTTACATACACTACACATACATCGTACAATGGGATCTCTGGTACGACTGTAGAGACCTATTTTTGTAAACCTTTTGATTTTTAGTTATTTGTCAATGGAATGCTTTCCTCCTAAAACCCCTTTATTGGTTTGATGACATTGGGAATTTTATTGTCAATTTTTTCACCTGTGGTATTGCGTAACTTGCTCTTTCGTACTACAATTAAAAATTTTGATGTATATATCATTTCTCACTTTTCAACAGTAGTTACATCAATGCCTTCATCACATTATTTTCTTTGTATATCCTTCTTTCATGACCGTCTTTGATGCTTCGATTTGTATAATGTTAACCTTTCAATAAATGTTTGTAAACAGAAAAAAAAAACATCTTTTGGTTCTAAAACTTTTTCAGAAGTCCATCTTGACCCCTGCAGAACATGGTGCCCAACAGCAGATTGCCAAACAGTTTGCCTGGTGGAAGATACCGATTCTGATATGCCCATATCTGTGGAATGCCGTGTTTGCCTTATGAAATTTTGTTCTGTATGCAAAAAGTCTTGGCACCCTGAACACTTATGTCAGGAAAACGAGCCTGAAGTAGTTCAACCTGAGAAAGGGTAATTTGTATATTTCATCTCATGTTATTTTTCTGTGATGTTTGTGCCCACCTTTTTTTTTTTTTTTTTCTAACCAAGTATGTAAGTTTGACCTCTTTAATGTATTAAGAATTATCAAGAGTCATTGCAAATCCATTTCTTCTCATGTTGGGATCACAGCTTTCAAAGTTGGTATAGGAAATTGTATTTTATTCGTGTTAGGGAGTAGTGTAGGCAATACATTAGGTTTCAGTGCAGGCAACTTGACGTTGGAAGTTTTCAGCACCAACTCCCATTGCTAAGAACCCTAAGCTCACTCCAAAACCTTAAAACTATCCCTCACACTAACCTTACCATTAACCTCAATGCTAATGTAAGACTAACTCCTTGTCTGCATGCTTCTCTGCCCTGCACTCAATCCTTTGCACTAAAGAATAAAGTTGGCAATACACTATTAGATTTTTTTTAGTTCAGCCTTAACAGATTTCTCCATTCACCCTGTACAACACAGATGGATGGTTGAACTCTGCACCAAATTTCCCCTTTCCCTTTCAGCTCTAGGATCCTGAAGCTGGGATCCACTGACCTTTTCTTTAGGTATTTGGTTAGTGTTAAGCTTAGCTTTTAGTGTTTTGGGGAAAGCCTAAGTGTTAAAGGAGAAGTTTACTTTCAGAACATGTTACATATTCCACCCATATTTAGAATGGAACATTGCCCCCCCAATCCCCCTTTCCTCTGTGACGGCAAGTAGGGGTTCTTTTCCCTACATCCACTGTCACTTTTTAAAGAGTGTGGCTGCGTGGGGCTCTGCCCACATAGCCACATCATTCGTTCACAATCTCCTGTGAATGAATAAAGTACAAGTACCAAAACTAAAACAATGTGATGTGATACTTACAATATACAAAACAATAATGTAAATGAATTCCCTTCAATAGTGCCATACACATGGAACTGTATTACAACACACATCCCTCCTTTGTGTACTTAACGATATAAAATGCATAGAGCAATGACATACAATATTCAACTGTAACATTCATTGTGTAATATGGTACATTCTGTAAACAATATACACTATATTGCCAACAGTATTGGGGCACCCCTCAAAATCATTGGATTCAGGAGTTTCGATCACCTCCATGGCCCCAGGTGTATAAAATCAAGCACATAGGCTGTAGATGGCTTCTGCAAACATTTGTGAAAGAATGGGTCGCTCTCAGGAGCTCAGTGAATTCAAGCATGGTACTGTGATAGGTTGCCACCTGTGCAATAAGTCCATCTGTGAAATTTCCTTGCTATTAAATATTTCACTATCAACTGTTAGTGGTAATATAACAAAGTGGAAGCAAGTGGGAACAGCAACTCAGCCAGTGGTAAGCCACATAAAATGACAGAGAGGGGTCAGCGTATGCTAAAGCACACAGTGCACAGAAGTCGCCAACTGTCTTCAGAGTCAGTAGCTAAAGACCTCCAAACTTCGTCTAGCCTTCAGACTAGCACAACAGTGCATAGAGAGCTTCATGGAATGGGCTTCCATGGCCGAGCAGCTACATCCAAGCTTTACATCACCAAGTGCAATGCGAAGCTTGAGATGCAGTGGTGTAAAGCACGCTGCCTCTGGACTCTAGAGCAGTGGAGATATGTTCTCTGGAGTGACGAATCGCGCTTCTCTGTCTGGTAATCCGATGGACGTGTCTGGGTTTGGCGTTTGCCAGGAGAACAGTACTTGCCTTGCATTCTGCTAAGTGTAAAGTTTGGTGGAAGGGGGATTATGGTGTGTGGTTGACTTTCAGGGGTTGGGCTTTGCCCCTTAGTTCCAGTGAAGGGAACTCTTAAGGCGTCAGCATACCAAGACATTTTGGACAATTTCATGCTCCCAACTTTGTGGGAACAGTTAGGGGATGGCCCCTTCCTGTTCCAACATGACTGCCTACTTGTCCGCCATCAGTGCCTGACCTCACAAATGCTCTTCTGGAAGAATGGTCAAACATTCCCATAGACACACTCCTAAACCTTGTGGACAACCTTCCCAGAAGAGTTGAAGCTGTTATAGCTGCAAAGGCTGGGCCAACTCAATATTGAACCATACAGACTTAGACTGGGATGCCATTAAAGTTCATGTGCGTGTAAAGGAGAACTTGCACAATTGGTGGCTGACTAAATACTTTTTTGCCCCACTGTAAATGACACTTAACTGAGACAAACACACTACAGAGGGATATGCTTTGTTCATATTTCATGTCTGAGGTTTACAGCCACTTTAAGTGATAGTGTGAGAAGGGAATAAGTGTAGAGGGACAAATTAATGGATACAGTTTGGGGGTTAAGTGTTAAAGGGCAAGGTTAAGTGTTAATTGTTCCTGTTGGGTAGGGTTGAGTGTTAGAGAGATGCTTTAATATAGGGGATAATTTAGCAGTTGCTGACACTGGGCTACTAGTGTATTCACAATAGTTATTGTGTTGGGAGTATTATGCCAACAACACATCTAGCACTGGGCTCCTGGTGCTGAAAAAAAATGTTTTAAAGTAATCAAACGTTTATGCCAGGGGTCTCCTAACTTTCTAAACAAAGGCCCAGTTTATTGTCCTTCAGACTTTATGGGGGCCGGACTGTAGCCAATGGGAGTGGAAATTTTCCTGGAATCAGTGGAATCCTGGAAACATTGCAACATTTGGTATAAAGGAGAGGACTAGTGCCCCATAATTGGTATCATTGGGAGGAAGAGTGCCCCATCATTGGTGTCAGTGGGAGAGAAATAGTGTTCCATTGTTGGTATCAGTGGGAGATATTGTGCCCCATTGTTGTTGTTAGTTGGCAGAATTGTGTTTTCATATCCGTGAGAAGCAAGGGCCAGATAAAGGCAAGCAAAGGGCCGCATCTGGAGACCATTGGTTTATGCTATGCAAACCCAGTCTCATCTGCAATAATACAGTGCCTTGAAAAAGTATTCATACCCCTTGAAATTTTCCACATTTTTGCCTTGTTACAACCAAAAATGTAAATGTATTTTATTTGGATTTTATCTGATCGACCAACACAAAGTGGCACATAATTGTGAAGATGAATTGTTTTCAATTTTTTTTACAAATACATATCTAAAAAGTGTGGCATGTATTTTTATTTAGCCCCCTTTACTTTGATACCCCTAACTAAAATCTAGTGGAACCAATTGCCTTCAGAAGTCACCTAATTAGTAAATAGAGTCCACTTGTGAGTAATTTAATCTCATTATAAATACAGCTGTTCTGTGAAGCCCTCAGAGATTTGTTAGAGAACATTAGTGAACAAACAGCATTATGAAGGCCAAGGAACACACCAGGCAGGTCAGGGATAAAGTTGTGGAGAAGTTTAAAGCAGCGTTAGGTTATAAAAAAAAAAATATCCCAAGCTTTGAACATCTCAAGGAGCACTGTTCAATCCATCATCCGAAAATGGAAAGAGTATGGCACAACTGCAAACCTACCAAGACATCCACCTAAACTGAGAGGCCGGGCAAGGAGAGCATTAACCAGAGAAATAGCCAAAAGGCCTATGGTAACTCTGGAGGAGCAGCAGAGACCCACAGCTCAGGTGGGAGAATCTGTCCACAGGACAACTATTGTCATGCACTCCAAAAATCTGGCCTTTTATGGAAGATTGGCAAGAAGAAAGCCGTTGTTGAAAACCATAAGAAGTCCTGTTTGCAGTTTGCAAGAAGCCATATGGGGGACACAGCAAACATGTAGAAGAAGGTGCTCTGGTCAGATGAGACCAAAATTGAACTTTTGTGGCCTAAAAGCAAAAAACACTGTGTGGCAGGAAACTAACACTGTTCATCACCCTGAACACACCATTCCCACCATGAAACATGGTGGTGGCAGCATCATGTTGCATGGATTCTTTTCTTCAGCAAGGACAGGAAATCTGGTCAGAGAAGATGGGAAGATGAATGGAGCCAATAAAGGGCAATCTTAGAAGAAAACCTGTTAGAGTCTGCAAAAGACTTGAGACTGGGGTGGAGGTTCATCTTCCAGCAGGACAACCCTAAACATACAGCCAGTGCTACAATGGAATGGTTTGGATCAAAACATTCATTTGTTAGAAATATCCAGTCAAAGTCCAGACCTAAATCCAATTCAGAATCTGTGGCAAGACTTGAAAATTGCTGTTCACAGACGCTCTCCATCCAATCTGACAGAGCTTGAGATATTTTGCAAAAACGAATAGGCAAAAATTTCACTCTCCTAGATGTGCAAAGCTGGTAGAGACATCCGCAAGAAGACTTGCAGCTGTAATTGCAGCGAAAGGTGGTACTACAAAGTATTGACTCAGGGGGCTGAATGCAAATGCGCGCCACGCTTTTCAGATATTTATTTGTAAAAAATATTGAAAACCATTTATCATTTTCCTTCCACTTCACAATTATGTGCCGCTTTGTGTTGGTCTATCACATAAAATCCCCACTAAAATACATTTGCGTTTTTAGTTGTACCATGACAAAATGCGGAACATTTCAAGGGGCATGAATACTTTTTCAAGGCAATGTAGGTGTGTGTATTATGGTAAATGATAAGTTCACCTTTTAGGATCATGTAACATGTTCCCACTCCTGCAGCCGCTCCCCAATCCTTGCATTCCCTGTGACAGTGGGCTGGGGATCTTTTTCCTGTCCACACTGTCCCTATTTGAAAAGAGCACGGCCATGCTCTGCTTACACGGCCGTTTCATTCATTCACAGAGTTCTGTGAATGAATGAACAAACTACAAGTACCAACATCCTTTGCAGCTGTTGGCTGGGCTCTGTTGAGCGCTCTAGGTAGTCCATTGATACTTCCTGCCAGTGCGTAGCTGCCTGCTTGTACGAGGCATGAGTCTGCAAGAGTCATGCATTGCACTCACAATCTGCTGATTAGAGGTGCAATACTTTCCAGGCTCCTAATTAAAAAAAATTACAAAATGCACATTTTTTACATGCAAAAAGATGTGCATTTACAATTTTTTCTTTTAAAAGTGAACTTATCTTTTAAGAAATGGTTTG